ATAAATAAATAAATAAATAAATAAATAAATAAATAAATAAATAAATAAAATAAAAATAAAAACTTGAAAACGTGCTAAAAATATTTTGTCACTCTTCCACAATTATATAACAGCATCTTTAACAGAAACAAAATGGAACTTTAACAAACATACAGTTGGAGCTGTATAAATAATTTACAGGTTCATAATAAATTATATAGCACTATAATGTTTACAAAGAGTCATATTACTGATTGGGGATTTTTGTACAAAAGAGAGAGCCACTTACTTGACCAACACTGAGTTGGGTATAAAACCATATGGGTTGATAGGATACTGTGCTTTGAGAGGTTTTCCAGCAGTGTCTTCTTCTTTTTGCTTTTCTTCTTCCTTCTTTTCCTTCTCTTTTTCCATTTCATCCTTGATTTCCTCTATCTTCTTTCCCATTTCATATTTTTCAGCAGCGTCAGGAGCAGGGAAGAAACCTGTGGGTCCATATTCATCTCTGTATGGTTCTTCGGCTGGAGAGGGAGGGAGAGGGAGAAATGTCTTTATAATATATTGTTATGGAAAGGTTCATAATACAATAATGAAATATTATATCACAGAAATGAAATGAAAAGGAGCAAGAATTTGTGTACATGCCAGTAAAGTGATTTCATCGGATGAACAATATACTACATTTAAATATTCCTTAACTGACAGTGTAAAATGTATGGTATCTTTCACAAGTTTCTGATATCAATCACATCAAGACATCCATGCATGTAACCGTATGATTTAATGTCATCTGAATCAAACTGGATCTATTTACAGCTATTTACAGTCAACAAAAGCACAAGAGATTATTTTAAGTAATATTGCTGTTTTGATATGACATCAACTCCACCTGTCATATTTGATACAGACAACAGGACATTCAACAAATATTTCAAAATCAAGAAGTTAACAAAAAAACATTATTAGGATAGTCAGAAATGCAAGTTTTAAGATTTTTTTGGGAAAAACATATTTTCAAGGAAAAAAGTCAACCTTAACTATAGCAAAAAAATAAAGCATCTGAAGAAATGATTAAATTTTTAAAAAATACCCCAGTTCAAATTGAACTTTTACAGGTATTAAACATTTTATACTACTTATCAGCTATAGGAATATGCAGTATGAGTTCAAAGTGAATTGTTACAGATATTTGGCATTCTATAATAATTAAGAGCTAGTAATATGCAGTACATTGATAAGCTATTGTTATCAATGAGATGAAGTTTGAAGTTTGAAGACCTAAGCTTGATAACCATACCCTTTTCCACTGGATCTGCATGAAAATAAAACATTAAAACTGGCTAAAATTTAATTTAAAGCAATGTGTTGTTGCAATATTGTACACCAGTGTTGCATCAATCTAAAACCATAAAACAGAATATCTATGCTTAAACAAATGATGAAATAATTATCAAAATTACAAAAAGAGGGACCTTTTTCTACAGTGACCAGTCTTGTGAGAACTGCACTGGGGACAGAGTCATAGAAACATCTTCATTACAGTGTGGCCAGTGAATTCCCGGGTGCCCGAATGAAAGCTTTCACAGAAGTAGGCTTTCAAAGTTTGTGTAGAAATTGAAATTTTATATTTATCCTCCAATCAATCCATTTTTGTTTGTTACAATGTAGCTTATGTGACTTAATATAAAGCATAGTTCTAGAGCATCTAGGAAACCATAGACATACCTTCAGATCCTTTGTCCTCAGCCAGTTCTTTGATTAAATCCTCCTCATACATGTTATCAGGGGGCACCTTGAACACAAACCATTACAATTCATCATCTATCATCCATAAAAGCTAAACTTTTTACTTCATAGTTATTTTCTCAATGCTCTGATCCATCATTCAAGGCATTATGGAAGCTTACTAAGATAATCATTATGAATTGTCCTGCAATCTTAATTTTTTCTGACTGATTTTTTAAAGACCTTGTATAAATCATTAAAAAAAAATACTGGTAATTGCATTACATTGAAACTTTAGAACATATCCCTAACGAAAAAGTCCTATAGGATCCTATAAGATCCTACAGGATTCTATGGGAAATTGGCCCAATTTCCTATAGGATCCTATAGGATCTTATAGGATCCTATAGGACTTTTTCATAAGGGATTAAAAGTATAACAACCAAACACAAAGAAATAAAATATTCCATGTACATCACAAAGCATGACTTCAGTTCTCATTCATTAGAATTTCCTTAGAACATGTTTTTTTATAAATAATCACAAACATGAAGCAATCCTATATCACTAAATTAAAAACAAAATAATTTTGTTCATTTGATTAAACACTTCAGTATTCCATCACCATTATTACCTTGATCTGTGGCCTATCATAAAATATCTTCAGGTATTTCTCAAATGCAATCTTCTTTGTGAGAGGTGTTTTCTTGGGTTTCCTGGATGACTTTACTTCTCCATTCTTCATCTTCAGTAGCTCCTCCTCCCTCTTGTCAATCACAGCAAAAGCCTAAGAAGACAAGATCAGGTTTATGTTCTATGTCCCACCAATAGTGACACGAATATAAAATATAATATCTACTATCACATGATCTCCTACAACCTCAGGATAACAAGGGGGTGCTTTTTTTTCTCACTTTTTTCTTTTACTTCCCTAACCTCTGTGACGAAATATCTGGAAAATACGGTACAATTTTGATCACCTCTCCAGGCCTCATATCAGTCTTCTCTCCCATTGAGGTCAGAGAAGGTACTGAACCTCCAATTTTATTATTGAAAAGAACAAATGGTAAAAAAAATTATTATAATAACTGTATTAAGGTATTGTAATAGCAATTATGATAATATGTAACCGCGCAATATCTATCATTGTATTATGTAATAAATCGTACCTTTTCTTTCAGTCTTTTCTCCATCATAACTTCTTCCTCTTCTTCATTACTGAGAACATCCATAAAGTGAGTAAACCTGGAAATAGAAAAAAAGAAACTTACTACCATAAATGTAGTGCAAGGAGGGCAACTTTCATCGCTGAAATTTTTCATTCTCTTCGTCTAAGAGCAGTTTTAAGATACTACATATTTTTTTCTCTTTCTCCCCCTTTCTTTTCATCTTTTATCTTATGATTTGTATTTTTTTTTTGTGTAATATTTGTGCTTTGTCTTCTGTCATATCTTTGAGCAGACTGAGCTGAGTGACTGTAACATATTGTGTATCAGAAATGAAAATCATCTGATGATGGGCAAAATCCTTATCCTGTTTAGATTCAATGTATTGTGAGTGTGTCAATACTTATCAGAAGAAACTGATCAATTAATTAATTTAATTAAACTTACTTAAAAGAAGAGTGAGCTGCCTTCAGTCTGAGGATGTCCTCCTTTCGCAGTCTTCTCACCACAGCCTCATCAAAAGGAATGGGTTGGTCTGGCTTCTCTTCAGCATACTTTATGGTTACCATTTTGAAGCGCAGAAATTTTGGCATGTCTGTAATACAACTTGTATAATTTACATACAGTTCTGTAGACATATGCAATTTAAGAGATCCTTTCATAAAATTGCAACCAATGCAAAAGAGGAAAAAATGAAATTGAAAGATATATTGTTTTCACTTACATTAATATATAATATATAAAGTATTTTTTTTTCATATTTACATTTTCATATTATATTATGGAAACAAGTGATTTTAGAGATTGTTTGGGGTGGGGGAGGAGGGTGAACATCTGTCAAAATACATTCTCTCCTAGCACCCCCCTCCCCTTCACCTTCCCCTGCCCTGGTATCTGACATTGTCCTACTCACAGCTTGCATATCCAATTTTGTGCAAATGGTTTCCAATTCCCACCAACAAGTCTCCCTTGGGACTGCAGAAACCCAGACTCAGTGGAACAGCATTCATTTTGACTAACCTGAAAATAGAAGATCTTGGTAAAAAATAAATATAATCATACAGTCAATAATAAACTGTGGAGTTTTGGGTACTCATGAAGACCATGCCTTGCATTAAACTGAAAGCAGTGAAATCAGCTGTACTAATTTTTGTAAAGCCTGTATGCATTCTATATGGGGTTTTCTGGCTAAATCTAATTTTCATCGAGAAATAAGTAAGCAAAATTTCCTGTACTTGAATTCAATGGGCTGAATTCCTAGAGATAAGTAACTTTCCAGGATATTTGAAAATAAATAAATAATGAATTTGGGAGATTTTCAAATGTGTATAGTATTACCTTAAATCTTCATTTCTGCCAGACTGTACTACTGTTTCTTCGTCCTTTTTTTTTTTAGTTGCTTTTTTATTGTTTGACTTGTTTACCTGAGTAGTTTGTTTTCCTCATTCCATATCCTAACAGTTCCGTCCACACTGGAGGAAGCAAACAGTTTCAGCTTGGGACAACAGGTCACTCCAGTTATAGAATCTGAGTGGTCATCATCAGGGGAGTGGTCATAGCGTCCTGAAAGGTTATTATGGGAAATTACTTTCAAATTTTATATATTTTCTTCAATCGAAATCAGAATTTAGAGTAATAGGAGAGAGAGAGAGAGAGAGAGAGAGAGAGAGAGAGTCTTACTCTTTGACTGCAGATCATAGACCACCACACTATAAGTGGCGGTAGTGTGCTCCTGAAAGGCCACCCCCAGTTTGCCTTTCATCACACACATGTGTATTGGGGTCTGAGCACAGTAGAAGGACATCAGGGGAGCAAGAGCTTCCTGAGCATAGGGGAACAACCGCCACACTTTAATGATGTTGTCTGGAAAAAAAATAGAACATGTTTGATACAGATTTTATTCAAAATTCAGAACTTGCAAAGAAATTCAATAAGGCTATATGACAAAAAGTTATATCCAAACACTGTTGCTGTTCATTGTAATGGTTGGAAGATGGTAAAATTGTGTTAGTTGAGTAGCAAATCTTGTAAGATTGTGTTGGTTGTGCCTCACCATTCCCTGCTGATATGAGCTGGTCCTGCTTGGAATTAGCAATCATGTTCAGTACTCCTCTGCTGCCATGAGCCTGTGCAAGGAATTACAAATACTACAGATTACTTAACTATTACAATGACTGCTTCTTATCTTTTCTTTCATCCCTGTGCTCAGGTGGGAAACCATCAAGCATTCAAGGTTTTGCAACCAGTTTATTTTAAAGAATAAAGGATAATTTTTACATAACTAGTGTACAGCTATCTGGATCTGTTCACCCTGAGCGGCAGAAGTCATGGGGGATTCATGCTGATAAAAGAGGAGAGTTTGCCGTGACCACTGAACCTCTAAGTGGGGATGTCATGCAACAGATTGATTATCTTTTAAAAGTTTTTTAAATGATAAATGATAAACTTAACCATTTAACAATGGACTTAGTCACAGGCCCAGTAAAGGGAATAAATATCAGATCTCTAGCAAAAGTTGTACCTCTATTTCAAAGTCTACGGCCCCTGTGTCCCAATTAAAGACACAAATGAAGCCATCCTTCCTGCCCCCCAGGAGTAGTGTCTTGTCCGTGTTCTTGGTCTCCTGGTTTGTGATGGAGTGAAGGTGCTGTGTAGTGATGGACTTGAGCATTCCCAGCCAGGAGTCCCCTCCCTCCAGAACTGAGTCCACCACGTATTCATACACTAGCAGGTAGTTACAAGCTTCTGTGAAAACAATTAATAAGATTCTATAACAAGCAAACAAAGAAATAAATGAATTTTAAAAATTAGCCAAGGAGTCAATGAACTGTCTTGTATCATAACACTTGGGTATTACATGTAAGTGTACTACAAATCCATTTTCATATTATACTAATAGATGATTTAAGACCTCTGGAAAAATAACCCTTAAACATGAATATAATCAAAATGGTGTGTATGTCATAGAAGGGCAATGTACACTTGTAAAGAATTAAGTACACNTAATGGGTCAATTACATGTAAGTGTACTACAAATCCATTTTCATATTATACTAATAGATGATTTAAGACCTCTGGAAAAATAACCCTTAAACATGAATATAATCAAAATGGTGTGTATGTCATAGAAGGGCAATGTACACTTGTAAAGAATTAAGTACACTTCTGCTCAGGCCACAGGACCAGGGTCACCTAGTTACAGTCCACACACTGACCACAGGACCAGTGTCACCTAGTTACAGTCCACACACTGACCACAGGACCAGGGTAACCTAGTTACAGTCTACACACTGACCACAGGACCAGTGTCACCTAGTTATAGTCCACACACTGACTACAGGACCCAGGGTCACCTAGTTATAGTCCACACACTGACTACAGGACCAGGGTCATTAGTTATAGTCCACACACTGACCACAGGACCAAAGGACACAAACACTTTCCATTGAAAACATTAACATTAAGTTTTTTAAAAAAAAAGTAACACAGAGGAAAATTAAGGCACCAAAGAAAATTCTATCAATGAAAACATTCTAACTACTTACTTGAGGGGTCCTTACATTCCCACTCCATCCTGACTGTGATGGGGTTGGTGGTGGTATCACACTTCAGAATGTCTCCATTGTCAAATACTGCAAACAAGGCATCTGTGGGGAAACAAGCAAAAATCAGTTGGTTTCAGCTTTGTATAAGGGTATTTTACACTAAAATTTTGAGAACATATGTGAAGAATTTTAATTTTTATGTGCAGAGTCAACTGAAAATAAAAGTCTTTTTGAAATTTTATCATCTGAGAACTAAAGGGTTAAAGTATTGCATTCACATGCAGATAATCACCTTGATTTTTGTCTAGCCAAGAAAAAATATTTGAAAACTAATTTTTCAAGATATATCAACAAAATATCTTTTTCAACAATTTCTCATGTAAAATGCTCGCACACTTTGGGTTACTCAATCATTACTAAATGTTCTTTGGCATATTCAAAACCCAAAGAAAGAAGAAACCAACAGTCTCACCTTCTGCTGAAGCATAGGCAGCATCCACCATTCCACGCTTAGGGTTCATCAGCAATGTGGTGATGACATCCCCTGTAGAGGGAGCCACTATGCGCACACTGGAGTCCTTACATAGTAGAGTGGCTCTGATTGGCTGGTTGGGATGATCTGTGGGTTTGATGTGCTGGACACGAAACCTGGGTAATACAAATAAATTCCAGATATTATTAACTTAAAAGAAATTATAATGAAACTAGAAAAGCACTCAGAGAGCACAGACCTCTGCCAAGGAAACTGAATTTTCATTATTATTAATATATAAAATCTTCTCAACAGCTTACATGTATTTATTTCTGATGGAAACTTTGCATGTAATTATCTTTTCTATCCAATGCGGCAAGTGAATGTGTGCGTGATGTGAACCATAAAAATAGGTCAAGACATAATTAAAACAAATTGCATAGCTTCAACACAGGGTGCCTGCCCCTGGATGTGAGATGTAACTTGTGCAGCTTTGACACATGGTGGTGGTATGTAATGTGTAACACAGTAGGTCAGGTCACAGCTTGCCACATGTACCATTAAAATAGGTCAAGTTGTTATCATTATGACTTGTTTTCTAATAGCTTCAATGCAGAGTGTGTGTTTCCATTTCAATGGTTATCTGTCTCACCTTCAAAAACTAATCATTTGTTCTTTGGCCCATTTGTGGCCTATCATGAAAATTCCATCAAAATCCATCCATGATTTATTGCATAATGTTGAAAGCAGACAAACAAACTAACTGAACCAAACACATAACCTCCTTGAAGGAGGTAAAATGTAAAGTATTATCAACCCCTTATGGCACAGAGTGTCTCAATCTATTTGATTTTAATATTGCATGAGATGACATTAAGGGTCATAAAAAAACTCCATTTGTATCAAATGATACATGTCATGTAAAGAAAGGTGTGCTCTTCTCATATACAATAAAAAAAGATTTTTATACCAATCAGAAGGCTAAAAGAGCCCAGAAAAGATGGGTATAAAATGTGTATTGTAAATGAAGGCCTAACAGGTAGCTCTGATCTGTATACCCTGAAACAGGATCTTCAAGTGGATTCAGAAAATGCAAAAGACTGGTTTACATCAAATGAAATGGAAGCAAATCCAGAGAAGTTTCAAGCCAATGTAATTGGAAAAAAGCAGGAAGAAGTATCTGAGGAATTCATTTTTGATGGCAAATCCATTAGGTCAGAGTCAAGTGTCAAGCTACCAGGAGTATATTTTGACTTACGGCTCACCCTTGATAAGCATATATCTGAACTTTGCAAGAAAAGTGCCTGCCAGTTAAATGTATTAAGAAGACTGTCATCATATCTGGACGCTCCAAGTAAACTCTGCATCAAATTTTAATCACTGCCCACTCGTGTGGCATTTCTGCGGGGAAGCCAATACAAAAAAACAAAACAAAAAAAAAAAAAAAAAAAAAACTAGAAAAAATCCAGGAAAGGGGCCTTCATTTTGTATACAACGACTATGCTAGTTCTTATGATGATCTACTAAATTTGAGGATTAAGTACTCTTCACATTAGTAGGCTAAGGATATTGGCTACAGAAATATATAAAGTTTTAAATGGCCTTGCACCTCCTGCAGTGTCAGAACTCTTTCAGAGGAGAGAAACAATCTATGATCTTAGAGAGAATGATGTTCTAAACATACCCAGGTTTAGCACTATGCCATATGGAAAAAATCAATATCCTACTTAGGGCCAAAAATTTGGAATGATCTACTAAATGAAATCAAACAATGTGTTAGTCTGAATGAAGTGAAAACAATGCTTTAAAAATGGGAAGGACCTAAGTGCAAGTGTTATCTCTGCAATGTATATGGATAATGATAAATTTAAACTGAAATGATGATGTCTCAATGTAAACTTAATTAATTAATTAATTAATTAATTAATTACCAGCTACATGTATCATACTATGTCAGCTGCTAGGCCTTATTTTCCTGTTGTAATTTCAATCAATAGAAGTAGTTAGAAATAGTAGTAGTAAACATTGTATCATTATCTAACTTATTCTGTCGGTAAATAGCTACTCAGCTAATGTTTGTACTTTCATTCTTTCCGACATGAAATAAACTTTATTGTATTGTATTGTATTGTATTGTATTGTATTGTATTGTATTGTATTGTACCCCACAGAAGTGTGCAGTGCATGCACATGCTGTATGTTCCAGAGGTCAACCTCTGTCATGGAGTAGCTGAAGAAGTCATTCTCATAGATAAGAGTACCCATTCCTGTCACTGGCTGCTTGGTCTCTATTCTGTAAAATCAAATATATTACATTGTGCAATATCAAATAAGACTGAAAAATGAAACTTTCAGGAAAGCAGGCATGAGACCTGTCCTCACTGAAAAAGCAGGATTTACACAATTCATGGGACTTACACAATTCACAAGAATGACCCAAATGACCCTGAAAAAATCGGAAATCCAACAAAAGTTGGAAAAATCTCATCAGTGAAAAAGGGATATAAAATATAACTTTAGACCTACATTTATCTTACACTTTAAAGTACAGGAAATTCCACCATGAAAATAGACAAAGTCAATCTTACAAAATTGAAAAATAGAAGAAGAAAAAGGGGAAAATGCACAGGACATGCCAACTTACCTGTCAACTTCATCACATGTCTCTAGGCTCCAAACTCGAATGCTACAGTCATGGCTGGCTGACATGATAAAAGGCCCAAACGGATAGACACTCAGACATGACACCTGCTTATTATGTCCTACAAACACCAGCTGGAGGTGCCAAGTTTCATCCCAAACCTTGACTGGAACACAGAAATGTCAGTGTCAGATACAGAGTTAACCATTTTAATTTATTTATGTTTGATTCATCATCAAACATGTTAATCTTAATTCTTTAAATATGCTTATTTTAGTTTAATCTAATAGAAAATTTCATCTGATAAAATGACTACAAAATAATCAATATCCAAATCAAAAGTATACTGTTAACTTACATATTATTATCATTATTATCATTTTATTCATTGGAATGATATGAGATAAAGATCTTCACACAATTTTTAATCATTATTTAACACAGCTGACACTGAATGAGTCTGGTCACCTGGAGGATTAAAAATACAGACATAAATATGAGACACTTCTCAGATAAACTGTCACACACAAGAGTCCAGTACTTACTTGAGCCATCTTTGGCCCCAGTGACCAGGTATTTGAGTGGGTTAAAGAAGCACAGAGAGGTGATCTGGCGGTCATGGAGGTCCTTCTGACAGTCCAGTAACTTGCCCTCAAACAGGTTAAATATCTGCAAGGCAACACAAAGATGATTATTACTAATGGAAAAAAGACTTTATAATCAAATACAGGACATTTCACATAACTCACCACCTGATAACAGATTTTGTGGAATGGATTTTTGTTGAGCAATTAAAGATGGAATTATGAACAAATCTTCGAATAACTAGGACAGATTTTCAGGTCATGGTGCTAACATGATGTGCATTAATTATAGAGAGTCTATTGTATTTCAAGCACATACAGTTCATTATATTTAATTGGCAATACCTAAATGAGATAATTTGTATGTTCTGAATGTAAATAAAAGATTCATATTAAAAATATATGAGAGCTTAAATCTGTGGCTAATTTTTGTATCATAACACAAAGAAAAATACAAAAAGAAGTGTTCAGTGGAGAGGCTGTACTTACTGCAACACCTGTGCCAGTTGCAGCAAAACATTTCTGTGACCTGCTAGGTGTCTCTTCCAAGACCAAGATGGAGAAATGTTCATTAGCCATCTTCTCGGCTTTGGCTGTCTTCCTGGGGATCAGATGTCTGTTGCCATAACGAAACACCCAAGACTGGAGTTGTAAGAATTAGATTAAAATTTCAGTCCATTACTAATCTGAGAATAGGTTTTGTGAAAAATATAGGATTCATTATTTTCATTTATTTATCTATTTATTTATTTTTTTGTGGGAAGAGATTTAACAAATTCATTCAATCAGCACATTCTGTCAGAATTAATTATGTGGTGAATATCACTTAATGTACAAATGCTCTGGAGTCAACTTTTTTAAAATCATCATGTGAAAATCTGTGCATATTCTGGATCATCAAAAATATAATAAATTTTCCTACTATGAAATATGAACGAATAAAGACATTGGTAAAGTGTACTTACAGTTATACAGCCAATTTCTCCACTGACCACTTCGTTGGTGTTTTCATTGTACACAAGATTGACCACATCTGTAAAAGCCTTGTTTACAGACAGTACCTCAAAGTCACTGCCCATCAACTAGAGTAAGAAGAATTAAAACAGTTAACTTTGTCATTTCCACATAAATTAACTGCCTGAAATGCAACCATTACAAAAAGTCAGTATTTGAAAATGATACCTCTTTTGGCTGATCCTTTTTTTAAATTACAAATCTGGAAACTTACCACCAAATGTTTATCACCATAGGTCCATCCTACGTACTGATCTATCTGGGAGGCATAACACAACTTGGTGATAGCTTCCTCTGGCTCCACCACATCTTTCTTCCTCCCATCACCTTTAAATATGCGTATCAGGTTTCCCTCCACAGTAAGATACTCCTTCAAAATAAAAAAAAGATTCACATCCAATTAGACCACCCAAGCATAAATATGTAGCAATATACATAATTAAAAAGTCACAAACTTTAATAAAACTATACATTTCAGTGGTATTTTAAAAATAACAAGGCAGTAAAGCTGTCAAATGTACAGACAAAAAGCAGGAAATAACTATGCACAAAATAGGCTACTGTCAATGGGGAATACCAGCCCGCTTGGCGCCAGGTGTCGCTAGTGTGAATTCAGTCCTTCCTAGGTCGCCATGTTGGATATTGTATACGTTGGACTGTGGTACTGGCCTTAATAAACATGCCTCAGTATTGTTGTGTACCTGAATGTCAAAGTCGGCAAGGTGGGCATAATTTTCTTGAGGATTCAGGGCTTCGTTTGAAGTGAAGGGTTGCCCATGTCAACACACCTTCCATGTTAAAGGGTCAGTTACAACTTGACCCAGGAACAGTAATTAGGCCCCTAAAGATAGACGAGTTGCCTCAAAAAGAATACACGTAAAAAGGTTAATTGATCTTGGCAAAACTTATAAAGTTTTGGAAAGAGAGCTCCATAGCAAGAAAGTGCCCCTAGGAAGTATGATTTATCAAAGTGCGTTTTCTTATGTCCGTAATTTCAGAAGAGTTGTCAGTAAATATATATAAGTCCCGGTAGCCTACTACCCGCATAAGGTTGTGTTATTAAGTAATATCCTTTTTTATTGATGTATTGAGCATGACCGGTAATGTTAATTAAATAATTATTTTTATTTAAAATCATTATTCAGTACCTCGTAAGAATCATAAAACTAGGTATAGTTAGATAATTTATTTGTTCATGTATAGATGCAATTTCTCAGCCAATGGAATAATGCATGTTTGGAAATCTTTTTGTAACAGTTTAAGAAATAAAATTTAAAGAAAGAAAACATTTTATAAATGAACAGTTTTTGTTCTTTTTTT